GAATTGGGATATTTTCAACACAGATTTTTCTGCCAAGGATTGTATATTCTGGAAATATGTAGGATGGATAAAAGTTGACCATCGTCTTGAAGAGGTTAAATTTGTAGTAATCAGGATTTGAGAATTTTTGGAACTTATAAAAAATGAAACCGTTATAAGGGGATTTATCTTCCTTCCTTAAATTTACAAATGAAAAAAATGCGTATAAAGACAGTGGTTCAAAGTTAAAAAAAGGATTATTTGTCTTTCTTAAAAAATCTTTTCATCAAATTAAACCTGTATAACAAGATTATGAAAAATGATTTTGGAAATATATGGCCAATTTCAGTTTAATTTCACAGTTAAATATCTAGACCACCTCATTGGAACTCTGTTAAACAGTTGTTGAAAAGTAATAAAATAATTATATTTTCGTAAAATCGAAATAAGTTTAAAAAAGGTTAAAAAAAAGAAAGAAGTGGTATTTTTTATGAGATGGTTTTATTTGTATTCATTTATTGGATGAAATTTTAATATTTTATAAATTTGTCGGATGTAATTATATTATATAGAGATGTTTTATCAAAAACTATTAGGCCTATATATATATATATATATATATATATATATATATATAAATATATATATATAATATGCATTGATAAAAATGAAAAAGAAATATAAAATATTGACAAATATTTTAAAAATCATATAATAACAAAGGTATATTTTTGAAAAAAAAAAACAGATTTTTAATATGTAATAAATTTTTTTAAATAATACGATTACACTCTGTATTCCAATGCAAAATGTATTAAATTTTATCTCACAAAAATTTCATAACAGTCTATATATTTAATATTATTTATTTTGTAAATTTACTATCTAAAGGAAATACGTGTGTTTAGTTCAGATGTATGTAAAATCATCAAACTTTTAAAATTCAAGTCGAGGGTCAATGTTTATCTGTTCTTGTTTATTGGCTCGTTCAGGATAAAATCATTGTTTCCTTCCTATACGCCCTTACAACATTCCATTCAGTAATAAAAATTGGTAGCGCATGCAAGGAGAAAGTGATGTTAAAAAAAAGTTAGATTTTTTACACTTTCCGTATATTTTTTTGATGAATATAAATGTTATGGTCCGGTTCCTTGTGCCACGGTGATACTCCAAGGTAGAACCAATAAAGAAGAACTCGAACACAGGTACGGAATAACACAGATATATTACAAACAGGAATATATACAGAGAAGTAGAAGTGTTAGTATGAACAATCAGGTTTAGTAGAGAGAACAATGTAGTCTCGACCAGTATCACTATTCCAATGTCCTGCAGTAATTGTCTGAACGCGACTCTGTTTCGGACAGCCTCTGACGGACTCAATTGACTCGACTTGAACTACTGACTGATGATATTAGTCACAATGGAACGAGGGCATTCATGTTGCACAAGGCCGGTTTAACGTGGGATCTTCGAGCCCGTGGGATCTATAGCCCGTGGGCCAAAGTTTATATTTAATTGAACCCGTATAAACGGGTTCAGGATCGGTTTACCACACTGAAAGAGACTCCTCCCTTCGGCGTAGACTCTTTCGGGTTCCTCCCCGCCTGAAGGCAGAGAGTTCAACCGTTCAGCTGGTCGTCCGACATCGACTGACGAACTACTGACTGACGATATTCAGTCACCCACCCCCCACGAGGTCGTCATGTGGCACAAGGCCGGTTTAAGGTGGGATCTCCGAGCCCGTGGGCTCGGCCAAAAATATGCCCTTTGAACCCGTATAAACGGGTTCAGGGTCGGTTTACCTCCCCGAAAGAGAATCCGCCCTTCGGCGTAGCCTCTTTCGGGTTCCTCCCTGCCCGAAGGCAGAGATTTCAACCGATCAGCCGGTCGTCCGACATTTTCTTTTTTCTCTTTTTTCCTTTTTTCCCTCTTTATATCGTTTCCGGTGAGTTGGCCTATTAAATAGGTAAATGGCTGATCCATACCCCCATCCTCAATATTAAGTATTGTATTAAAAATGAAAATAAATTCAAAAGTATTCTTATCTCTTACTTTACTCTCTATTTACGGACACCGTCTGTCACGCTATCTCTCTCACTCTCTATATCACCTTACATAAGCTAAATCCTCCCCTTTAAAAGTGTAAATTTAAATTCATTTTTTCAACCTTGGAAGTGGGGTCTGATGATGTAGAAAAAAGAAAATATAAAACAATTGAAATATATTATAACAATGGAACCTTAAAAGTGGCCTGTTTTCCTTTTTTTATATATATATATATATATATATATATATATATATATTTATATAATTAATTATTTATAAAAAAATTATAAAATAAATATGTTATAAAATCACTACAAAAATAGTATTTTTGTTTCAAACACTTTTGTCTTATTTTCAACAGAGGTGAAAATAAAATAAAACCTTTATTTTATTTTCAACATAAAATTGAAACAAATGGTTATTTTTTATAAAATAAATTAGATTATAACATATTTATTTTTTTATTCCTGTTATTTTTTTAAAAAATAATTATATCTGCTCTACTTTGTATTGAGCACTCTTTTAAGAATAGTAATTGTTGGTTATTAGAATTCATTTTTATTCCAATTATATCTTGATATATATATATATATATATATATATATATATATATATATATATATATAGAGAGAGAGAGAGAGAGAGAGATTTTATCCCAATAACAACACTAGGACATAAGAAATTACTCAATGTTAGAGCATATAAAAAAATTCATATTAAGGAGAGAGAACGATAAAAGAATAAGAATTAAGATGACAGAAGACAACGATTGACAATGGAAGAAGATGGAAGAGAGATCTAAAAAGTGAGAAGTGTAGATAGAAGAAACAGTTACCATAGAACTAACGTTTATGTCTACTCATTTCATCTGTAAATGGATGAAACCTGAAGATTTGCGTTTTGGAACAGAATGAAACATCCTCTTCCCACCTAGTGCCGTCTTTTATTTTGACATACACTCTACCTATGATATTGAGCACATTTACACGTAAATATAGCATAACATGCTATAATATATATATATATATATATACACACACACACACACACACACACACACACACACACAGAGACAGAAATGGACAAAGAAATATATTTATTAAAGACATTTTTATGTTTAACGTTTTTTTTTATAGATACAAGTATTTAAGTAAATGGTCTGTTTATAGTAAACAGTATTAAATAACATTAAGTCGGTTAAGGCACGTCAGCGTAAATGACGGTTCCGTATAGGATGCAGTTTCTAATCCTGTCAAAGGACGAATATTTTCTATGAAAATTTCTCGGACATTCAGGCCGGTAAATGTTATTTAATACTGTTTATCAAATTTCTTTTTTAAAAATATATATATATATATATATATATATATATATATATATATATATATATATATATATATAAAAAGAAAATAATGAAAACCTCATACGGGGAATAAACTTATTTTAAAATGACCAAAATAAAATTCGTCTATCTTACCAACTTTCGTGTCGGAAGTAGAAGTTTAACGGTGAAAGCTTAAAAAAAAACCGTCGAAAATTAATATAGAATTCATCCATTTCAAAGTTCCATTTCGACGATAGGCAGACGATGGACACGAGACAGTGGTCAGGGGAAGGTGGAAGGTATTTGCCTTAAAGGGAACAGCTTTTATCAAATTAAACCCGTATATCAACGTTATGACATGAAATTGGGATTGTATGAAGACTTTTTTTGTAGCTTTCACACTTAAATATTTATTTCGAGTTGAACCCAGTCAACACGGGGGTTGATAAGACTGACGTGTTATATTTTCGTCAGTCGAAATCAGTTTATTCTCCATATGAGGTGATTTTGGATTTTATTGTGTTTTAATGTTTGCTCTGTAAAAAAATATATTGAGATCTATTTGTGGACGAGTTTTAATATTTTATATGACTAGGATTCGCTTAGTTATATACCAGAGTATTCATTACCTTCTCTCTCTCTATCTATATATATATATATATATATATATATATATATATATATATATATATATATATATATATATATATATATATTATACATTTATATATAATACGCATTGATACGAAAGTAAAAAGAAATATAAAATATTGACAAATATGGCGCCGAGAAATGTTGTAGAATGATAGCTGATATTATATGATGGATTTGATATGCGTAATGTCGTCAAGTTGATTAGAATAGATATCACAGTTCGTTAGAACAAATGGTGCTAGGGACTAGATTTCCTTGAGGCAAAGTTAATGAGAGTTCAGAATTTGTATGTCTTTTATTTCTGTTCCTGTCTGTGCACTGATGTTAAATAAGAGCCCGGTTGAAAGTGCAGTACAAAAAAAATGATCTAAATTATTCTGAAGATAGTAAACAATAGTGAAAATGTATAATAATAATAATGGTCAGAATTATCGGTCTAGATCTATGGACTTTCGATAGCGTATTAATGATTCGTTTATTTCCTCTTTGCAATTGAAGTTCTTCACGTCCAACCAATAGTACGAATTTATATCTCTTTTTTTACTTTATAACTACTTTTTGTCCAACAAATCAATAGAATTTATAATTCTTCTTTGCTTTTTATCTTCTTACTGTCCAACAATTCGAACGAATTAATTCTTCTTTACATTTTAACTTCTTCTTTTTTTCCAACCTAACGAACGAATTCATATCTCTTCTTTATTTTTTTTTCTTTTTCTGTCCAATAATTCATTAGATTTTTTTTATTTCTTCTTTGCTTTTTATCTTCTTTCTGTCCAACTTATCGAACGAATTCCTATCTCTTCTTTGTTTTTTAACTACTTTCTTTCCTACCTAACGAACGAATTCATATCTCTTCAATGCGTTTTATCTCTTTCTGTCCAATAATACAACAGATTTTATATTTCATCTGGATTTTTATCTTCTTCTTTCTGTCCAAATAATCGAACGAATTCATTTTCTTCGGTGCTTTTTTAACTTCTTTCTGTAACCTATGAAACGAATCCATATTACTTCTTTACTTTTTATCTTCTTTCTCTCTAACAATTCAACAGATTTTATATTTCTTCTTTGCTTTTTTACTTCTTCTTTCTGTCCAACTTATCGAACGAATTCATATATTTTCTTTACTTTTTATCTTCTTTCTGTCCTACAAATGGACAGATTTTATATTTCTTCTTTGCTTTTTAACTTCTTCATTCTGTCCAACTTATCGAACAGATTCATATCTCTTCTTTACTTTTCATCTTCTTTATGTCCAAGAAATCGACCGAATGCATTTCTTCTTTGCTTTCTAAATTCTTCTTTCTTGAAAGGAATTCATATTTCTTCTTTGCTTCTTAATTTACATCTCCTGTTTTTCTGTCTTTCTTTTTCAATTCTTTTTTCTTGGCGTCTTCTTTCTTTTTCTTTTTTTTTAGAAAATTTCATTAAGATTACCTTTTTTCCATTACGTCCATTCAACGACCAGCATTGTCCGAGCAACCGATCTTCATCCGTTTATTCTAATCATGTACAGCTCTGCGAAAAAGTAGAACTCCTCTTCGATAACCGCCTTTTTTGTTATGTCATACCAGGACCCTTTTTTTAAATATTAACCCACAATGAGCACGATTTGTGGAACGTGATGATTTAGTGCGATGAAACAATGTTAGCTGCAAAAGACTCTGGAGATGAGAAGAGATGGAAGTTCACATGCATAAGGCGCCGGTGTTGTATAGGCGGCACAAAAGGGAGGTAATGTATTAATTGTCTTCTTTTGATTTGCATGACAGTTATTGCCACTCTCCGCTGAGAGGAAATTGTTAAGGACTTGAGGCTGTTGCCTTATTTAATCCGACGTTTACTCTGCTATGATTTAGGGCCGTCGATTTTGATTTTGCCGGTTTCAATTGTACGCGTCACTCTTCCTTTCTTTTTGGTCATTTCTTTGGTACCTTTTTAAAAAATTCAGTCACCTTTTCTCTTAGTTTATCTCTCTCTGTCTCTTTGCCTTTGTGAGTGGAAATTTATATTCTTGTTTCTGATTTTTTGAATTATTCTCTCTTGAAATTTTCCTTTTGCATATTTTGATGTCTTATTTTTTTTTTTTTACATGCTTTTTGTCTTTACTTGTAAAAATGTTTGTATCTTTAAAAGAACTGCTTCCGTTTTCAATTTTCAAAATCGTATAAAAATTTTATTTTTTTTTAGCTTTTTTTTGCTTTCCTTTTCTTTTTTGAATAGCTTTACCTAAACCTCTAATTCTTTATTCTTTCTTTATCTGGTTGGTTTATTTGTTTCTTTCTTTATTTCTTTCATTTTTCTGTTAATTTATTTAGCTTTTTCCCTTTTTAATTTTTCTTTGACCTCTGTCTATCTTTCTTTCTGTCTTTCTTTCTTTCTATCTTTCTTTCTTTCTTTCTTTCTCTCTTTCTTTCTTTCTTGTTTCTCTTTCTTTCTTTCTTTCTTTCTCTCTTTCTGTCTTTCTTTCTTTCTGTCTTTCTTTCTTTCTTTCTCTCTTTCTTTCTTTCTTTCTTTCTTTCTGTCTTTCTTTCTTTCTTTCTTTCTTATTATTTTGAATTCTTTCATTCTTCTTCGTAAAATTTCCCTTGTCGTTCATTTTTTTTTCTGAATTTTTTGCTCATTCATATTCTTCGATTCTTCTTCATAATATTTCCTTAGGTTTTCATTATTTATTTATTTATTTACTTATTGCACTCTTTTGAATTCTTTCATTATTCTCTGTAGTTTTTTCCATAGTTTTTCTGTCTTTCTTTCTTTCTTTTTCTTTCTTTCTTTCTTGAATTTTGTTATTTTATGGCCTTTCATTCTTCTCATATTATTTCCTTAATCTATCTTTCTTTATTTATTTATTTATTTATTTATTTACTGATTTTTGCTCTTTTGAATTCTTTCATTCTCCTCCGGAATGTTTCCTTACTTTTTCGTTCTTTCTTTCTTTCTTGAATTTTACTCTTTCATGTTATTTCATTCTTCTTTATACTATTTCCTTAGTTTTTCATTCATACTTGTTTTTTGTTTACTTATTTATTTATTGATTTTTACTATTTTGAATTCTTTCCTTCTCCTTAATATTTCTTTAGTTTTTCGTTCTTTCAGGCTTTGTTCCATTTCTTCTTTCCTTATTTCTGAATTAATATTTTGTTCTCTTGAGTTCTTTCATTCTTCTGCAAATTTCCTTCCCGAACTTGTCCTTGTTTTCATTCTTTCATTCTCTCACTTCTTAGTTAATGTCCTTTTGCATTCCTTCAATCTATCTTTCTTTTTTCTGTTCGATCTTAGAACTATTTTCCCCTTTTCTTTATTTTTCTTTGACTCCATACTAAACCATATTCTTTGCTTTCTTTCACTCTGCATTTTCTCTTTTTATTTCATTCCCATGCTTCTTACAATTCTTTTCACTTTTCTTCCATTTTTTTCTTCTCCTTTTTTTCATTTGCACATCTGTTTTTATCCAATTTTTCATCAATCCTGATTAACCCTTTCTTCTTCCATTTTTTTTTCTCTTTTTTTTCATTTGCACATCTGTTTTTATCCAATTTTTCATCAATTTAACCCTTTCTTCTTCCATTTTTTCTTCTCCTTTTTTTCATTTGCACATCTGTTTTTATCCAATTTTCATCAATCCTGATTAACCCTTTCTTCTTTCATTTTTTCTTCTCCTTTTTTTTCATTTACAACATCTGTTTTTATCCAATTTTTCATCAATTTTAACCCTTTTTCTTTTTTTTTTTTTCTCTTTTTTTTCATTTGCACATCTGTTTTTATCAATTTTTCATCAATCCTGATTAACCCTTTCTTCTTTCATTTTTTTTCTTCTCTTTTTTTTTCATTTGCACATCTGTTTTATCCAATTTTTCATCAATCCTGATTAACCCTTTCTTCTTCCATTTTTTTCTTCTCCTTTTTTCATTTGCACATCTTTTTTTATCAATTTTCATCAATTTGATTAACCTTTTCTTCTTCCATTTTTTTTTCTCCTTTTTTCATTTGCACATCTGTTTTATCCAATTTTTCATCAATCCTGATTAACCCTTTTTTATTTTTTTCTTCTCCTTTTTTTCATTTGCACATCTTTTTTTATCAATTTTCATCAATCCTGATTATTTTTATTTCTTCCATTTTTCTTCTCCTTTTTTTTTCATTTGCACATCTGTTTTTATCAAATTTTCATCAATCTGATTAACCCTTTCTTCTTTCATTTTTTCTTCTCCTTTTTTTCATTTGCACATCTGTTTTTATCAATTTTTCATCAATCCTGATTAACCCTTTCTTCTTCCATTTCCATTCTCTCCTTTTTTTCATTTGCACATCTGTTTTTATCCAATTTTTCATCAATCCTGATTAATTTTTTCTTCTTTCATTTTTTTCTTCTCCTTTTTTTCATTTGCACATCTGTTTTATTCAATTTTTCATCAATCCTGATTAACCCTTTCTTCTTCCATTTTTTCTTCTCCTTTTTTTCATTTGCACATCTGTTTTTATCAATTTTTCATCAATCCTGATTAACCCTTTTCTTCTTCCATTTTTTTCTTCTCCTTTTTTTCATTTGCACATCTGTTTTTATCCAATTTTTCATCAATCCTGATTAACCTTTTCTTCTTCCATTTTTTCTTCTCCTTTTTTCATTTGCACATCTGTTTTTTATCAATTTTTCATCAATCCTGATTAACTCTTTCTTCTTCCATTTTTTTTCTTCTCCTTTTTTTCATTTACATCTGTTTTTATCAAATTTTCATCAATCCTGATTAACCCTTTCTTCTTCCATTTTTTTTCTTCTTTTTTTTCATTTGCACATCTGTTTTTTATCAATTTTTCATCAATCCTGATTAACCCTTTTCTTCTTTCATTTTTTTTCTTCTCCTTTTTTCATTTGCACATCTGTTTTTATCAATTTTTCATCAATCCTGATTAACCCTTTCTTCTTCCATTTTTTTCTTCTCCTTTTTTTCATTTGCACATCTGTTTTTTATCAATTTTTCATCAATCCTGATTAACCCTTTCTTCTTCCATTTTTTTTCTTCTTTTTTTTCATTTGCACATCTGTTTTTATCAATTTTTCATCAATCCTGATTAACCCTTTCTTCTTCATTTTTTTCTTTTCCTTTTTTCATTTGCACATCTGTTTTTATCCAATTTTTCATCAATCCTGATTAACCTTTCTTCTTCCATTTTTTCTTCTCCTTTTTTTTCATTTGCACATCTGTTTTTATCCAATTTTTCATCAATCCTGATTAACCCTTTCTTCTTCATTTTTTTCTTCTCCTTTTTTCATTTGCACATCTGTTTTTTTCAATTTTTCATCAATCCTGATTAACCCTTTCTTCTTCCATTTTTTTTCTTCTTTTTTTCATTTGCACATCTGTTTTTATCAATTTTTCATCAATCCTGATTAACCCTTTCTTCTTCCATTTTTTTCTTCTTTTTTTCATTTGCACATCTGTTTTTATCAATTTTTCATCAATCCTGATTAACCCTTTCTTCTTCCATTTTTTTCTTCTCCTTTTTTCATTTGCACATCTGTTTTATCCAATTTTTTCATCAATCCTGATTTTTTCTTCTTCCATTTTTTTTTTCTCATTTTTTTTCATAATTTACATCTGTTTTATCAATTTTTCATCAATCCTGATTAACCTTTTCTTCTTCCATTTTTTTTTCTTTTTTTTTTTTCATTTGCACATCTGTTTTTATCAATTTTTCATCAATCCTGATTAACCCTTTCTTCTTTCATTTTTTTCTTCTCCTTTTTTTCATTTGCACATCTGTTTTTATCCAATTTTTCATCAATCCTGATTAACCCTTTCTTCTTCCATTTTTTTCTTCTCCTTTTTTTCATTTGCACATCTGTTTTTATCCAATTTTTCATCAATCCTGATTAACCCTTTCTTCTTCCATTTTTTTCTTCTCCTTTTTTTCATTTGCACATCTGTTTTTATCCAATTTTTCATCAATCCTGATTAACCCTTTCTTCTTTCATTTTTTTCTTCTCCTTTTTTTCATTTGCACATCTGTTTTTATCCAATTTTTCATCAATCCTGATTAACCCTTTCTTCTTCCATTTTTTTTTCTTTGATTCTCGTTCTTCTGTTCTGACACACTTTCTTTTTCTAACTCTTGTTCTTAGTTAATTGATATCAAAGTCAGACATGTTCTTTTTCTTTCCTTTTCTGATATTTGTTTGTCTTATTTTATTCTCCGTTAGTTATTCTCAACCAATTCTTTTCCGAATAATAAACAAATTTCTTTCTTCCTTTCTTTTGTTTTTTTCTTTTTCTCTTTTTTTTTTTTTTGAATATATCTTCATCTCTTCCTCTAAATATTCTCGTTCAGCCTTTAAATTTTATGGCTGCATTTTCTCCATTTTTCAATTCCAGTCAGCCGACGTGCAAGCAATCGACAAAGAATAGACTAATTTAATCAATAATAAAACAAAAATTAAATCCAAATTAAATCGCTGGATTTTTTGTGGGGGTGGACGAATCCATTACAGAAATTGACCTTTCCATTCAAATCTTCTCGACAAACCTGCCTTAAAAACTAAGTTGTATGAAAAAGAAAGATGGCGGCTCCATTCTTTCTTTTTTTTTTTGCACAATAATTGCAGTTCTTTTCAGACTGATGCTAGAGTCACGAAAATGCCAACTTAAAGTGGCGTATGAATCTCATTTTCAGTATTTTCTTCAGACATGTTACGATATTAACAAAAATATTATAAACATACTATAAAAATATTATAAACTCTTTTACTCAGAAAAGATACATGCAATACAAATCGATAAAGGTAAGCAAACCAATGTTCACACTAAATAAAATAGTCAAGAATTAGTATGTTGATTTTCAAGGCAGACGTACAATTAATTCATATATATATATATATATATATATATATATATATATATATATATATATATGACGGACTCTCCCATTGAGTTCGATGTATGTGGTTCCAACGTCCACGAATTAATTATTTGCATGCCTATCCTTTTGGGGCCGGCTCGAGAGTTGCACAAAAGACAACAAGCAGTACTGGAGAATGTATTGCATCCAAGTGCAACAGGAACACTGTAAGATGACTTATTTTACTTTCTCGTTTCATGTAGTCGACTGATGGTTGCTTTTCAGTTCAGCTATATCAATGTTGTTCTTTAGCTTCAATGCGACCAGAGCTGTTTAATTTCTTTCTGGTGCTGAGTTTTTGTTCTGGAGAGTTCGTACATTCCAAGTGCCAAGATGAAGTTGATGTTGTTTCGTTGAGTTTCTCGCAGTAGCCGGATATGTGTGGAACTATTTAGATGTAGTTGTCAGAAAACCAATACACTGATCTGTTTCAAGTGGTGAAGGCTTGTGTTGGACCATACACATTTTTTAATCTGTCGATAAAAAAGTAACGGGCCAAATACACATATGCATATATATATATATATATATATATATTTATATATATATATATATATATATATATAGTTAGTGCCAAATTATTATCGAGATAACTTTTTTCTAATATTTCAAAAACCGTCCAATCAATTCACGCAAAATTTTCACACAATGTTGACAACACTCACCTGCGCAAACACTGAAACACTCGTACTGATCTGCGCAATGTAAACAAAT